ATATGAACTTATTTTGTGATGGTTTTAAATGTTATATATGTTGGAAAAAATTTAGAGGCGCTTTTATTATTCTTGAATATCTTTAGAATTTTATGAAACTGATGATGAGTACTTAAATTTACATGTCCGATCTCGTTCCCACCTCGTATCTACGAGCTAACCGGGACGGGTCGTGACATTATAAGCACTGCACCATTAATAAAATTAAAAAAAAAAATCTCACGTACTCGAAATATATACCATAGAAACACACCAAAACCAGCATGTAATCCTAGCTATCAAATTTCACCAATCTAAACTTCAAACAGAGTGAAAGTAAAGAACTGTAAAACGATTTGGCAATAATGCATCCATACAGCATTAGCGTGCATTTCATCAATTCATATGCTCATCTTGTATCTCCACGGATGTCAATGCATTCATTGGAATGAATTTCACCAGCATGTCTGGGATTATATTAGTTGGCAACTCATATTGATAAAACATAGCATGTAATCATGTACTTCACATATTTGCAAATTCCCATATTTGATCCGGTTTGCATTCGAATGGTGTCAATCACACGAGTTTAATACTAATTTCTACTATGTTCTTATCACCTTAAGTAGATTAGTATGCATTAGCAACATTGAGAAAACTTGCATAGACTAAAAATATATTATTAATTTAATTGCGAATTATTAAAAAAAAATTATTTAAATAAAATAATATGAATAATTTAAAATTTAACTGAGTGATCAAGATCGAAATTACTTAAAATAGATTAAATACACAGGAAAAATAAGTTGTTATTTTATTTATGTATAACAAATTATTTTGAAAAATAAATTTATAATTAACTAGCAAATTATAACCAAAAAAGATGAAACCATCAGGTCATTTTAATTGAATTGACTTGGTTGAATGCCATGAGCATGGCGTTTTTTTTTTTTTTGGTGGGTGGGGGGGAAAAGGTTTTTTGCGTCGTAGGAGAGCTTAGAGATATGAGAACCAGAAAAAACAGAGAAGCAATTAATGAGTAAAGAAGGGACATAGAGAAGAAAGAGAAGTGAGATAGAGAGAGGCGAGGTGAACAATCATGACTACCCGGTAGCAATGATAACGGGACAAGTGAGAGTGTGATCATGCGAGCATTGCATGCAGGAAGGGAGGTGCATTCGATTAAACTACATGAAAGATATATCAAGCATGGCGAGCACAGTGGATAGAGAAATCAAAAAGCTAAGGAGAATTTTCTTAATCTTTGGGCTTAAGGTAATGTAAACCGTAACTCTATGTTTGCTGTTTTATTTTCTTCTTTAGCAACATGAAGAAGATAATGAAAGGAATTTAATGGCTCAGGGTTTAGAAGATTTATATGAAAACTTTAACCCAATGAAAAGGAAAATTATCTCTCATTTTAACATGCAATCATAACTCCATTAAAAAACCTAAGTTTATCTAATTATAGCCAAAACATGGGTTTAAAATTGCGCAATATGAGGCTCGCCTAAGGCCGCTTTGCGCATTCCAGGTAAAACACTGACATCGTCTGTTGCCTCACAGAGCACATTTTTTTTGAGGCTTCGCCGACTCCAACTTGGTTGCAGGCCCACCTAAGATCATGGCTGAAGGCTTGTCCTTCACGCTATATTACACTTAAACTTCTATCTTGGTTAGTCGACAAAAATTAGGTACTGGAGGGAGGAGGGCGAGAGCATTTAACATAATGATGATTCAAATGAAGAAGCCCTTTAGTGATGACATGTTGATGACTTATGAGTTCTTTATGTGGATAATGTCTTGCTTTTTATTTCTGGATTATGTTAATATGTTATGAAAAGAATATGGGATTTGGGAAAATAGGAATTTTGAGGTTGGAAGCTATATTTCAATGTTGTTCTTATTATGGATATAGATATAAATCTATCATTTATATCTTAATGTTTTTTAATGTTTATATAATTTTTCACTCTATTAAATGTATATAATAAAATTTATCATTTTCTTAGTTTAGCAATCTTTTTGATTTTTGAAGGCTTACGCCTCAAAATGCCTTGAGGCTTACGCTCAACTTCACGAATGAAAATGGCCTCAATACCCGAAATACGCAATTTTTAAACATTGGTGCCAAAGGTAAAATTGATTATTGATGGTATCAATTATAAAGTTTTTTCCATAATGCTTTGATGCTTATTTTACTTTCCAAAAGTTCATTTGGACAAATATGAATTAAGGTTAAAACTTACATTTAAATGTGGTTCAACCCTGAACCATGCGTTCTTACGATAAGTGGTCATGTATACTTCATTCTGAACAACCATTGTATCTATAAAAGATTAACCATTCATTTGCGGTCGTCATCGAGAATTCGCATGAAGAAATTCCTCAATAACTGCATCGGTGCTAGCCAGCTTTTCAATTGTACAATGTATAATTTAATAATATTAAATATAATTTAATATATTTAGAAAATAAATATTAAGTAATATTTTGAAATTATAACAAATTAATTTTAATTAAAATGCTCAAATTTTAAAAAAGAATCCAGCTAAGCATTTTCATAATGGCTCATCACTCCAATGTGAGTTCTTACCTCATCCAAACTCAAACGGTAATATAACATTACTAAGAGAAACTCCCAAATAAATATG